CCCCACAGTGTAGGCCCCAACATCTTCATTTTCTTAATAGTAAAAATAAAAGATGTATTTCTTAAACAATAGAGGGCACTATTCCCAAAGCCATGACACAGATTCCCAAAAAATGCCAGAAGGAGGATCTACAAATCCTGCTGTTAGCAGAATGAACTCCAAAATCTAAAATTACTCTGAACTCATTACAAAGGCCCAGTAAGAAATGAGAAATGTATTCTAAAAAAACTCTTAACCAATTGAAAAAGGTCTACGTTTGTCTCCATCATCCAAACCTTAATGTCAATCAAGTAATCACAATGGGCAATACCTCTAAAGAACAAATCGTAATATTTTGGGTTTCAAGTCTAATAAAATGATTCAGAAAATATCTTGCATTTCTTCTAACAAACCAGTTTCATCTTTTCTTGCTAACAGATAGCCAACTAGCATAATTACTGTGTATAAACAACTATGGGGGCCGGTGCTGTGGCATAACAGGTAAAGCCACTGCATGCAGTGCCAGTATCCAATATGGGCACCAGTGGTTCACTTTCCAGCTGGCCACAATAGCCAGAGCTGTGCCATGCCAAAGTCAGGAACCAGGAGCTTCTTCATCATCTCCCACAAGGATGCAGGGGCTCAAGGACTTGGACCATCTTCTAATGCTTTTCCCAGGCCACAGCAGAGAGCTGGATCAGGAAGCAGATCAGCTGGGACTCGAACCAGCACCCATATGGGTGGCTGGCACTGTAGGTGGTAGCTTTACCTGTCACACCACAGCGCCGGCCCCCAGCTACTCCATTTCTAATCCAGCTCCTTGCTCATGTGCCAGGGAAGGCTGTGGAAGATGGCTCAAGTCATCCATGCAGAACTCCAGGGTATAGTTCCTGGCCCCTGGCTTTGGCCTGGCCCAGGACTGGGCTAATTATAGCCATTTTGGGACTGAACCAGCAAATGGAAGATTTCTTTGTCTTTCCCTCTCTCTGTTGCCCTGCCTTTCAAATAAATTTCATTAAGTAACTTTGACAAGCCAGGCTCCTGAAGAAAAGTATAATCATTTGTGATAGGGAAGAAAGTTTTGTTATTATTTTTATTCCAATGACTCCTACAGAAATGAAGAAGTGAAATGCAAATGCAAAACTAAAGGTAGTAAGGAAGTAAAATACATGTTTTCAGGGAAAAATTTTTTTAAAGCTAGTATCTTTAGGTCACCTACTTGCATCACAAATCTAAAGATTCTTTTTCCCTACATGCAGTAAAAATATGTTGTTTAACTTACCTAACAGTGTTCCAATCTGAATATTAGAAATCTAAATATTTTTAAACTTGTCTGAGAGGTAGAGCCACGGAGAGAGAGGGGAAGAAAGGTCTTCTGCTGGTTCACTCCCCAAATGGCTGCAATGGCTGGAGCTGAGCAGATATGAAACCAGGAGCCAGGAGCTTCCTCCATGCCTCCCATGTGGGTGCAGGGGCTCAAGGACCTGGGCCATCCTCACCTGCTTTCCCAGGCCATAGCAGAAAGGTGGCTTGGAAGTGGAGCAGCTGGGACTCAAACCGGCACCCACATGGCATGCCGGCACTGCCGGCTTTACCTGCTAAACTGCAGTGCCAACCCCGAGGAACACATTTTTAAAGTGTGCAGTGGCAAGCCACAATAAAACAACCACTCAAATATGTATTAAATGTGAACCAAGGGAGCCCAAGCTGTGGGGCAGTGTGTTAAGCCACCACTATGGATGATACTGAGATCTCACATCTGAGTGCTTATTGGAGTCTCAGCTGCTCAGATTCCAATCCAGCTTCCTGCTAATGTGCCTGGGAAGGCAGCAGAGGACGGCCCAAGTAATTCAGCCCCTGCCACGCAAGTGGGAAACCAGGATGGAATACCAGGCTCCTGGTTTCAGCCTGGCCCAACACTGGTTTTTGTAGCCATATGGGCTGTAAACCAGCAGAAAGAAGATAGATCAATCAATCTCTGTCTCTCTAGAAAGTGAACTTCAAAAAATTTCTTAAACAATTTGCTTGTCCCAAGGCCAGCATTGTGGCGTAGCAGTTAAAGCCGCTACCGCCTGCAATGCTGGCATCCCATATGGCGCTGGCTGAGTCCCAGCTGCTCCATTTCCAATCCAGCTCCCTGCTAATGGCCTGGGAAAAGTAGCAACAGATAATCCAAGTGTCTGGCCCCTGCCACCCACATGGGAGATCCAGATGAAGCTCCTGTCTCCTGGCTTTGGCCTGGCCCAGCCCTGGTTGTTGCAGCCATCTGCAGAGTAAACCAGTGGATAGAAGATCAATCAATTTCTGTCTCCTCTCTAACTCTGACTCTCAAACAACTAAATAAATCTTTTTCAAAATAAAATTCACTTGTTCTGGGTTTTCTTAAATTCCCTTAAAATTCCTTGAATTTACACAAAATTGGAAGCAATAACTATTGCTTAAATATTGCAAAAAATAACAGAACAAAAAGCAGGGGAAAAATCTAACACTTTCCCAAAATAAAAAATATATTCAAATTGACAAATTCAAAGACAATAGGGACGATACCCCGATGAAGGATGGTTTCAATTTTAGCATGTTCAGTTTCAGTTAAGCAAATTCATCCATTTTCTTTTTTAATCTGTATCACAATTCCCACAAAGGGCCAAAAATTAGGCAAAGAAGTCTATCACTAAAATACTGTCAGAGTTAACAGATTTAAGCAAGACTATACGGCAAATAAGGTGGCCATCTACAGACATGTAAAAGTCAAGCCCCCAGCGAAGTGGCACAGTGGGTTAACACCCTGGCCTGAAGCGCCGGCATCCCATATGGGCGCCAGTTCTAGTCCCAGCTGCTCCTCTTCCAATCCAGCTCTCTGCTATGGCCTGGGAGAGCAGTAGAAGATAGCCCAAGTCCTTGGGCCCCTGCACTGGCATGGGAGACCAGGAAGAAGCTCCTGGCTCCTGATCGGCGCAGCTCCGGCCATTGCGGCCATCTGGAGAGTGAAAAGGCCCATTCCATAATTTGAGAATATAGTTTATCTCTGAACACACACTTCAGCACTGGACAAGGCCACTAAAAGCCAGTTCCACACTCTGAAGCTTGATTCAGTCATTCCTGCTTTAAAATCAGTTAATAGCTGCACCTGTAGAACATAAACTTATCTAGCTGCCACTGGCAAGGAATTCTGAAGTATACACCTTTTGGAAGTAGTAAGCTATAAACAACCCTAATGAGAGTCTCAAATTAGCTTCACTGAACTTCAGGAGTAAACCACTTTATCATTCACTAATTTTTCCTTAAAACCTTAAAGACACCATAATAACGAGTATGACACCAAATCTTAGTTTCTAGTCAAAACTCTTAAATTTGTTGTAAATAACCTTCATTCATTCAATATGCTTCATTCAGTCTCTAAAAATAGAAGCAGCAGAGGTATTTCAAGGAATCAAAATTAAATAATGGAAAAATCAGAATTTGTCAAACAAAACATAGCCAGTCTTTTGTTGTAATTATACATGTAAAACTGTAAGAGCAATGTTTGCTATATTTTAAACACTTAGCATTAATTATATATCCATTTTAGCAAACTAGGAAAATACATAAAGTAATCAGACCAACAAGTTGAATATTTAGTAACCCAAATCTTGTGGATTGCCCAAGCACTAAAAATCTTAAATCAGAATAAAAATATCAGTTTTATCTGCCATATAACACAACGGGGAAAAAAAAAACAAGTTAATGATATCTTTGTTGACAGTTTTTTACGTCATTAGTCAAAAACAAAATTTTATCTGTGTCATAATAAAGTATTTCTTTGTTTTAAAATAGTCAGGGGCTGCCTCTGTGGCATGGCAGGTAAAAGCTACCGCCTACAGTGCTGGCATTCCATATGGGCACTGGGTCAACTCCTGGCTCCACTTCCCATCCAGCTCCCTGCCAGTGCGCCTGGCAAAGCAGCAAAGGATGGCCCAAGTACTGAGGCCTCTGTACCCATGTGGGAGACTAGAGGAAGCACCTTGCTCTTGGCTTCGGCCTGGCCCAGCCCTCACCGTTGCAGCCATTTGAGGATTGAACCAGCAGATGGAAGATCTCACTCATCCTCTCCCTCTCTGCCTCTCTGTAACTCTGCCTTTCAAATAAATAAATAAATCTTTTATAAGTCTTGGTTACTAGAGTCATAAAGTCACAAAATCATGGGTGTACCTTTGAAAACTGTTATCTGGGCCAGTGCCGCAGCTCAGTAGGCTAATCCTCTGCCTTGCGGCGCCAAAAGAACAGGTTCTAGTCCCAGTCGGGGCGCCGGATTCTGTCCCAGTTGCCCCTCTTCCAGGCCAGCTCTCTGCTGTGGCCAGGGAGTGCAGTGGAGGATGGCCCAAGTGCTTGGGCCCTGCACCCCATGGGAGACCAGGATAAGTACCTGGCTCCTGCCTTTGGATCAGCGCGGTGCGCCGGCCGCGGCAGCCATTGGAGGGTGAACCAACGGCAAAGGAAGACCTTTCTCTCTGTCTCTCTCTCACTGTCCACTCTGTCAAAAAAAAAAAAGAAAAAGAAAAAAGAAAACTGTTATCTGAAGCCCAAAGCCTGAAGTGTTGTGGCTTGCCATTATTATCTTTTGTATATGGAGATAATAGCTAAGTGTAAATTATCTTTAGTCCTAGGAAAAAAAACAGATTTTGTCTTCAAGAAGCAGGATGTGTGAAAAAGAAAGGGTATGATTTGAGACAGTCGCCCCAACTCTTCCACTCCCTGGATACATAATTTTGGAAGGGTCATTTCATTTTCTTAACTTCATTTTCTTATCTATAAAATAGGAGTAATCCTACTTCATTCACAAGGTTATCTGGAAGGTCAAATGAGAAAACATACAGAAAAAATATTTTATAGCCTAAAAATTACAATAGAAACATAGCACACTGATCAATGTTTTGTTGTTATCAGTACTAAATCTCTTGACAGGTGAAGTTACACACTAAAGAGATTTCTGACTTCAAAGTAAACCATTTCCATTATTCAAAATTGTTTATTATAAAACAAACTTGCCTTAGACTGAGTTCTCTTTCCATTTCTCATGGTAAATTTCTCCTTCATTTCTTCTAAAATTACCTTCAGTTTCTTTTCTTCAGGTGTTCCTAAGTACTTTTGGTTAACATGAAGATAACAATGCCATTTGGCTGATTCAAAACCCCAGTGGCAAGTTCTTTTGTCAGGTGACCTGTGAGAATGCATCACAAATGTCTGAGGTGCGAACATTCCACAGCACTCTAGACACTGAATACATGGAGCATCAGGCTGAACATAGAACTGGGGTGCAAACAGACCCTGACATTTGCCCAGGCATTCATGTTCCACTTCAAAGGCACTGCCAGTTTCCTTTAACTGGGCCAATGAATTTTTAGCAGGAAGTACGCTACCGTTCTGAGGAAAAGTTCGTGGCCGCAACAGAGCGTTACAGAGTCTTTGTGCATCAGTCAATGTGATCAGCCCACAAGACGGGGCATTGAATGGAAGTATTCCCAGGACCTTTAAGATATGAAGCTGGTCTGAAGTACACCTTGAACAATATATGTACAATTCATCACACACTGTATTTATTTGCTGAAGTGAAAATTCTCGAAGAACAGAATTTAAGACTTGCGGCAAACAGAGTCTCTTTTCTCCTCCAACTTGAAAACAAGAAATAGACTCCCCTTCCAACATAGTCTGGGTAAGTTCTGTGGAGCTATCAGAAGGGATGAGCAGTGGACCAGGAAGAACCTGAGGCGATGGAAGAGGCAGAAATACAGTAGGGGACATGCTCTCTTGGGAATAGCGAGCAGAAAATGCTGCTGGCCCACCCAGAGAGCTCTGACTACTTAAATGGAACTGTGCCAGCGTGTGCTTCAAACTGGGATTTAGATTTAAAGATTCAGGCACAGAAGTACAGGTTCGCTTGACATGCTCTCCGTCAGTCTCCATCGGCGCTTCTCCAAAATCATCCACATGCTCCTTCTTCACCGTTGGCACCTTATTTATCATCTTTCCATTTGCATGAATGTCTGTCATCATTTTTTTCACGGGGGGGCTGCCATCATCTGCCATCCCATTCAGTTTTTTATTTGAGCCTTGAACCAAGAAGTTTGTCTGTAGGTTTTCCATTGAGACAAAATGTGTTAAATAATTAAGTCTGAGATTTGCATTTTCAATTAATTTCTTATCTGGAGAAAAGTACTGTCCACAAATACTTACGGTAACTTAACTAATAGAAAACCTTCCAAAGCAATCGCCTCATTCAATAGGTTCCGTACCTTTTAGCTTGTGTCTGCTTAAACCCTAGTATAATTCTACTGCAAATGCTGAAAAACTTGTTTTAGCTCTAGTAATTGATTTTAAGAGTCACACCTCTGAAGAAACCTTTCTTTTCTTGAATTCTTCAGGCACATTTAGCAAAACAAAGTTACCAATTTCTCAAGTCAAGATATCCAGATTCAATGCAATTGTCTGGTTTGGTTCTTTTAAAGTAAAACACATGGAAGGCTCATTCCATCACTTGTGCAATAAAATCTAGACTCAAGCACAAGTCAAAACGATGTAACCAGATTCATTTCTGCCGCTGACACCATAAAGGTGTTGGGGTAAGTATTAGTTCCTCTAAAATGATGGCATTAGCCTGTGTTGGCAAAATGAAGACTTGTATAAATCCTCACACCAGTAGGAAAAGCCTTTAACTCCACTAAACGTTCATAATTCAAATTGATATTTAATGAAAAATTGCCCAGTTATCTTCAGGGATTACAGTTCATTCTTCTTTTAATTAATCTGGAAGAAAAAAAGGGGAATGAAATCTGAATTTGTTCCAGAGGCCAAAGGGTCAATTTGAAATCAGTTTCTTAATCTTAAACTGTGTTCACTTTACCAAAGGTGACACTTGAGTAATTTCTTTAATAACAGTTAACTAGAAGAACACTTATTTAAATAGAAAAGCAATTTGTAAAGCAGGGAAAGGAGCAAGACTATCCCTCAAAAAGAGAAAGACTACTCAAATTCAGGATACGAAGAACCTTAAACAGATCATCCGAACTAAAACTCAGTACCGGAGGCTTTGTCAACCGCAACACTTAACTAAAAAAAATCCATTACTTCCTCTCCTAATAAAAAAAAAAAAAAAAAAAAAAAGGCGGCTCAATCCGAAAAAATCATATCCAAGTTACTGTATCTACCATATGTAACTAAGTTACAGTTTTAAGTGCATTAATTCATCCAGTTAGGGTAAATTATTCTTCTGGAATGACTGCAGGCAAAAATTAACTTTCCCTTTAAAGGTTAGCGAATTTGCTTAATGGAAGCCAAAAGCGAGAGAGACTCCAAGCCTGGGAATCTCCATCCTTGAACAAGACTAATCCGGGACAAAAAGCACAAGGCAGACAGACCTTACAAAGAATGCAAATGGAGGAGGAGGGAAAAAGAAAAGATTCCCCTTCCACTTCCTTCTTGAGAGAAAATCCCAAAGAAATCCAATAAACCGAAATTTTTGCTTCCCAAACTCCCCGCAATTACCTTAAAACCCAAAGGATTAAGGACGAAAGCTAACTACCCACCGTACCGACTGTCGCCACCTCAGGGACACCTCAGCCAGCCCTGGCCTAAGGAGAGAGTAGGAGGGCATGACCTAGACCCGGGGCGCCCCTAAAACCCCGCAGTCCTCAGCCCACGTACCGCCACCCGCCCTGTTCTCACCTGAAGTGGGGGAAGGACCCGGGACCCGGGACGCCCGGGGGCGCTCGAGGAGGTGCAGGGAAGTACAGGGAGGAGTCCCCCAGCCCCCACCCGCGAAGGAGGGTAACCCCAAGTGCTCTCCCAACACCGCCCCACTGCGGGGGCCGCGGGCAGGACGGTGGAAATCCCCCGCGCGCCCTCGCCCCGGGAAGTTCTGGGGTGTTACCCCGGCGTCCCCAAGCTGCGCACCCCCCTCCGCCCGCCCGCCCCGGGCCAGGGAGAAGAGGGGACCGCGAGCAGGTCCGGCGCCAAGCTCGCATCGCGCGCCGCCAGGCGCTGACCGCCCGGGTCGAGCCCAGGGCATCCCCGCCGAGCACAGACGGGCGGGGGGAGGAGAGGAGCAGGCGGTGACGGGCGTCCCGGTCGCCGGGGTCCTGACGGCTCAGGTCAAGTGCAGGGCCCTCCCCCCGCCGGCGCCCACCGTCCGAGGTCAGGGAAGCGCGATCCGCCCCGGGACCCCCCACCCCGCGCCCCGCTCTGGCTCCGACCCCACCCGGGACCCCGCGCATCAGGACCCCCTGACTCCGGCCTCTTCGCCTGGAGGAGCCCGACGAGCTTTGTTAACTCCTCACAGCCCCAGTGGCCCCGTCAGACTCCCCGGAGGCCGCGAGCCCCTTGCCTCCCACAGCGCGCCCCTCGCGAGCCGGAGCCGCACCTGTGCCCGCCGCCGCCGCCGTCGCCGCTCGCCCGCTCCCTTCGGCAGTGCCGGCGCCGCTCCGAACCCCACACACATCGCTACACACAGCCCTCTGACGTCACCGAGCCCTCGGCCCGCCCACGTCACTGCGGAGACACTCGGCTTCCCGCAGACGCCGCCGCCGTCTCCGGCCGCCCGGGGGAGAGCGAGGGCGGCGGGGAGGGGGGAAGGGCGGGGCACGGAGCCAGCGGCGGCGCCGCGCGCGCGCGCGCGCACAGGCCCGCCGGCGTCGCCGTGGCCGCCAGCTGGCGGCTCCCGACCCCCCACCCCACCCCGGGGACGCGCGCGCCGTCTGGCCTATTGTAGCTCCTCGGGGCACCCCTGGCAGGGTCCGCGCGCGCGCGCGCCCCTCCCCCCAGGCGCGCGCCCGGCGCTCCTGGCCTCGCGCGCCGTCTGGGCGGCTGGCGCGCGGCGCTGTCTGCGGTGCACCCGGCGCAGACAGGATGTTCCCTCCCCGCCCCACCCCCACCGCCGCCCGCCCTCCTTCCTTCCTCGAGTCGCCCAGCCGGCTGTCTGGGGCCGCCAGCGCCCCGCCCCCGCCCCACCCGCCGCTCTGTGGTGACGGGCCAGACCCGGGGGCGCCCTGCCGCTCGGCCGCCGCGGGACAGGGAGGGAGGGGCAGGGCGGCCGCGCGGTGCACTGTGCGCGACCCCAGCAGCCGGCAGGGCGGAGGCAGGACCCGCCCGGCACCGCGCCGCCGCCCGAGGTCAGGCGCGGGCGACCCTCCCCCCGCGGGGCCGCTGCTGCGCCGCGCCGCCCCGCCCCGGAGGTAGCCGGGCGGCGGCCGCCCCGCAGCGCCCCTCGTGCTGGCGCGGTCCCCCGGGCCCGCCGCGCAGCCGCCCCCGCCCCCGCGGGGCCTCCCGCCCCGGCCGCCCCTCGCCCCCGCGGGGCCTCCTGCCCCGGCCGCCCCGCCAGCTGCCAGCGCGCCTCCCTGCCCCGGCGGCCTCCACCCAGACGCCTTCCCGGGGCTGACCTGCGGCCGCCGCCGGGCCGGGCCGGGCCGGGCGGGAGGGGTGGCCAAAGTTCTGGCACCTCCGAGAGAACACATTTCTGAGCCGACTTCGCAGCCTCCTGCCCCGCCCCACCCGAAGACACTCTCGGTTTCGGAAGGGAGCTGTAAATTACATGTTTTTACAGTTTTACTGAGGGCTGGCGGGCGGGGAGACGAGATGAGGTGGGGCGGAAGACGCGACTTTCGGAGCCCGGGCTGTGGCCGCGGGGGACGTGCGGGGTGGTCTTCTGGTACGCGGTCCCCGGCAGCCACTTAGCATATTGAAGTCTGCGGAGCTGTTCCGTCATATTTGGAAACACCAAGAAATCCCCTTTTCTTCACCCCACCGCAAGATCGAGAACTGAAATGGCCCACCGAGTAGCCGGGGACAGGAGACTCCGGCTTCGCCCCTTCCCCACCCTCCCCCATCTTCTCTAAATTTTTCTTAGTTTTACTGGCTCAGGGTGGCTCACATGGGGGACCCTATTTGGAGTCGACCGACTGGGAATACTACTGCTACGCTCGTCCATCTCTCCCCCGCCCCTTTCCTCACGACGGGTCCATCAAAGGCTCCTAAGCCCCTCACCCCGCCCGCAGCCTAGGTTCCCTGCCCGACGCCCCCGTCGCCATGCCCCTAGGTCGCGCCCCTTCTACCACCCCCCACCTTTGCCTCCTCCTTGCCTGCCTCCTTTTCTGAACATGAATAATTCCACAGCACTTCCCATCTGTTATTGCCATAGAGACAGAAGCTCGGCAAAGATAATGATGTTCTGTGCAGAGCCAGTGGGGGGAGAGCAGCATCTGCGAGTCTGGGGGGATAGATTTTCTCGCCTCGAGAACATTCGCAAGGCCTGTCTGAAGATCCAGTGAGAAACACTGGGCAGTCTTGAGACGTGGCTCCTGGTCAGCGCTGGGCGCTGGGCTCCTGTGTCTAATGAAAAGAATTTTTAGGAACCAAGACGACTGGTTAAAAAAAAAAAAAGTGATTCCCAAACTGCAATTAATGGCAAATGTGGAGTAGTCCATTACAGCCATAGAAATAACTGGCTAGCCTGTCCAAAGGCTTACGAAGCAATATAAATTGGGCAGGAAATAGACTTTTGGAAATCAAGCACCTTATCTCCCTTCCGTGTTCGGATTGGCTTTCCCCAGGAATCTGTTTTTGAGGACAGGCTCTTTGCCGGTGATTTTATGTATGATGGTTTGAGAAACAGTTATGGGCAAATGTGGCTGGACCCAGTCAAGCTTTGAGAGCATGTTTTTTTCCCCATCAGTCGTCAAAGTACAAAATGTACCAAATTAAAATTCAGTTTGCCCTTGAAATCCCAAAGTCTTGGCCTCAAAGGTACAGGTTTGGACGCAAGTGAAACTGAGCAGGGTACATTTGCATAGATCCGAAGCAGATGGCCAGACACTTGCTAAGCCGCGTTTTTGCAGGCCTTCTGAAAGATTTTCAGAATTGATCAGTAAAATTGATTGTATAACATGAAAAGAAAATCGCTGAAAATAAATAATGGTTCTTTATCCAAAAAAGAAGATTGATCAGACGCAGAAAACACAGGCCTTGGAAAAAAAAATAAGCACGTTGAGGTAATGAATGTTGTAATTCCACATACTGATGGCCTTTATCAGCGGGGAAGTCAGCTTCAGGACTGGTCAGGAAATAGCTAGGAGATGGCTCGGATGGCCCCCTGCCACTCCTTCCTGACTGGGAGGGTGGGCCTGTGTGCTTGTGAGAATTCCAAAGGACCGAGGGCTACCCTTTATTCCTTCTTCTCCCATTTAGTACAATAAAGAGCAAAATTCACCGGGCACTAGGAGATCTAGAATTTCTCCTTCAGCCCTCATGGCTGGCTGATACTAGAAACCAAGAATGTGGAGGTTACAACTTTGAAGGCCAGTTCTGGCCTGTGACTTGACAAAATAGTTTGGAACAAATGCTTTCCTTTTGTCTTCACTTACTGATCTACCAGTAATGACCTGCTAATATTAATTACAAATAATATGAAAATAAGGGATGCAGTAGGATGAAAAGCTCAAATTGTGTTTACAGAGGAGGAGGGGGAAAAATATCAAATGCTAATTCAGCATACAAACGCTGTTTTGTGTTTTTCCTTTGTCGTTCCAGGCTGTTTTCCAAAGAAGAGAAACCACTTGTAGCTCGGTGATCCTTCTGCCCTTGCTTCCTTAATCCTCAACAACAAAAATTTGAAATTTTTTTTTTAGCAGCAAATCACATGCTAGGAGATCCTTCAGTTTCACAAAAGAATCTTAACCGTTTCTTTCTCCACCTCATTTTTTGCTGCAGCTTTTCATTTCTATCTATTTGTCAGGATGATGATGGCCTTTCACTTCTTCAGAGCACTTTTAGTCTTCTTCCTTCTTGCCCAGTATTTGTTCAGTCCTGCTGGTCCCAGCCAGTGTAAAGTCCCCTCCCCTCATTAAGTAGGCTTGCTCCTCAGTACTGCTTTTTCCTCTGATCTGCCAAGTCAATACTGGACCTACAAGGTCCCAAGTCCCATTTTCATGCCTTAAGATGAAAACCAGATGCTTAAAAACGATTAACACCCCCTCCCTCAACTGTGTCACACAGCACTTCTTTTTTTCAGGTTTTGATTGGATTCTGTGAAATTGGAAGGGAAAGAAAAAGAACACAAAAAGATAGAATTAGAAAGAGTAAAATAGGAAAAGTTCATGTTCAAAATGTTCAAATATTCATTGTTTAAATTGCAAAAATTTCCAAAATCAATGTAGTATTAAGTGTATTTCATCAAGTCTAAGAATTTCATAACTATTTAGAAAGGGCAGCAAAATTTTATTCACTGCAAATCAGAAGGCTTTTTACTTTTTTCTAAAGGAAAAAAATAGGATTCATAATTAATCCTGTGATATTGCCAAGCTTTGATTTACAACCTGCAAGTTGAGAGATGTTATCTAATAAGTAGTGCCAGACTGAATAGTTCAAAGTGTTTCACATACTCCTACGAAAAATTCCCTTTTAACAGAAAGAAAGTTGAGGCAGAATTTAGGTCACTTGTCAAACACCATATTGTTCAACATCAGCAGAACAGGCATTAGAACCAAATGCACTTGACTGACATCAATGGAGTTTCCATTCTTCATTTCCACACTCTTCTTGGTACACATTCAAATGAGCTATAAGAACATTCAAATTAGTCAAAAAGAGCAAATATTGAAACTCACAGGCTGGGAACACTTATCACAACCCACAAGATGAGTAATACACTTAATATGTGCAAAGCTCTGTGATATTTTATTCTATTGTTTGTATTTCAATACACTATGAATGCATTGCAACCTTCAGATTAAGAAACAATGAATTAAAGAATAATAAGCAATGTTAATATTTATATAGTGTTTACTATTGCTAGGCTCTGTTCTAAGGATTTTACGTATAATAACTCGTGTAATACTCATAATAACCCCATGATGCAGCCACTATTATCATACAACTTGATAAAGCTTTCCCCTCCAATCGTAAGAATATTAATATTCAATTTTTAAATCTGAGTTCTATGGAGGATCAATCTGGATGTTGTTAAAAATAGGGTATCAGTGTTTATGTTATATGATTTGAGGGCCACTAGCAATTCCATCTCTCCCTCACTACATTAGGACATAGTGTTTAAAATTCCCAGAAGACGTTTTATTTCCATTAAGATCCAAGTTAAACTGAAAATGTGTTAGAATAAAATAAGCATGATTGTTAATAATTACTGTTATTTTTAACCTCCAAACTTCACAACAATGCTTCAAAGTAAGCAATATTACACTGGTAGTCTGACTTTCTACATCTTTGTCACAGTTGTCAGTGTTATATTAACTAGTCATCTAGCAGATACATTGAGCAGTCTATTGTAATGAAACACAAAATAAAGAAACTTTGGGGGGCCTGCACTGTGGCATAGTGGGTAAAGCCACTGTCTGCAGTGCTGGCATTCCATATGGGCGCCTATTCGAGTCCTGGCTGCTCCACTTCCAATCCAGCTCTCTGCTGTGGCCTGGGAAAGCAGTAGAAGATGGCCCAAGTCCTTGGGCCCCTGCACCCACGTGGGAGACCCAGAAGAGGCTCCTGGCTCCTGGCTCGGATTGGCATAGCTCCCGCCGTTGTGGCCAATTGAGGAGTGAACCAGCGGATGGAAGACCTCTCTCTCTCTCTCTGCCTCCTCTCTCTCTCTCTCTCTGCCTCTCCTTCTCTCTCTGTGTAATTCTGACTTTCAAATAATTAAATAAATCTTTAAAAAGAAAGAAAGAAACTTTGGTTAGAGGAAGGTGGAGGAATAGAGTGGATGCATGGTAGAGCTCAGAGAAGGAGAGCTCGGGCGGATGGCTAAAGTGGCAAATACCAGGCCTCCACATGGTAGAGTGAGAACTGCAGTGGTTTTCCAGGGGCTTGGCTGCCTAGCCCCCATTTCCTTGTCCCCCATTCTGCATCACATAGCCATAGCACACAACTATTTTTTGAGCTTGTCTTGAGAAACATCCAGTTGGACCAGAAATAGGTACCTGAACCAAGCTAGATTAATGAGCACCTTCCCAGTGGTATTTAGAATGAGCACTGAAAGAGCCTGGTCTGGCCTGGCTGGTGGATTGAATAGAGGAAATACAACCTTGGGAACTTCTGGTGGTCAGACCTGCCTGCATCATGGAGTGGAAAAGCAGAGTAAGCCAGTCTGCAGAGAAGAACCCAAAGGAGGGAGACAAGAGAGGAACAGATAAAGTGTTGATAAGACTCAAGTCTTAGGTTCCAGTTTGTTCCAGAGGCCGAGCTGTGTTCTTGTCCTTGGATGCTCCTGTAACCTTGGACTGAGTCCCCTTCTTGGCTTTAGCTAGACAGAATGGGCTTCTGTTACAAGCAGCGAAGAGTCCTACTAATTGAAGAGCGACAGGCTCTAAGGGTGAAGTGGAAAGGCAGGACAATGGCAGCAAAGACCTTCCACTTCAATTTTCTGTATCACTGGACTTAATTATAACTGCTGAATCTCAGTAGCATTAGATTCCTCAAACAAAAAATTAAAACACTCTACTCTTTTGCCTTTGGTATAGAATGTAAAATATTCAAGAATATCTTGCTTTTTTAAATGTTGGAGTCTCTAGACCAAAGCAATCCAATAGAACTTTGCTCAGTGATGGATATCTTCTATAATTGCATTGTCCATTAGGGAAATTATAGCTCCATGTAACTGTTGAGTTCTTGAACTGTGGCTAATATCAATAACAAGTTGAATTTTTTATTTTATTTTAAATAACAAATTTAAGTAGCTAAATTTGTTATTTAAAATGTGTTATTTGTTATCACAGCTCTCTAACCATGCTTCTGTGACAAGAAGCAAATAGTAAAGTTGGTTTCCAGTATTAAGATGAGACTCAAAAGAAACTGGATTTGAGTACTTCAGAAACAATAGGGTACAGCTGTGAACTACCTAACCCAGTAATTGCAAACTGTGTGCCTACCTCCCCCTCCATCAATAACTTGGAAGAAGGATTTCAAGATGTGTCTCTGAGAATTACTTGTTTTTTTTTTAAAAAAAAGGAACAAAAACAACGAAGGAAGAAGAATCATTTTTTAAGATTTATTTTATTTATCTGAAAGGCACAGTTACAGAGAGAGAGAGAGAGAGAGAGAGAGAGAGAGAGAGAGATGGCTGCAAAAGCAGGGATTGGGCCAGGCTGAAGTCAGGAGGCAGGAGCTTTATTGGGGTCTCCCACGTGGGTTCAGAGATCCAAGTACTTGAGCCATCTTCCACTGCTTTCCCAGGGGCATTAGCAGGGACTGGATTGGAAGTTCAGCATCATCTATAATGCCCTAGGAAGAAGAATCTTTAATCTCACTTGAAAAAGATACAATGGTTCAGAATAAAATGTAACTGATTGCGTTAATAATTCTGCAAAATTAGTGTAGCCCTAAAGAGGAGTAACTGGTCAGAAAGGTTAGCAAGTTATCTCAATTGTGGAGAATAATGAATCAGCCCCAAGGTGTTCAGAATGTAAATTATATATTTAACCTCCTGTAGTTGTCTTTTTTTTTTTTTTAAGATTGATTTATTTATTTGAAAGAGCTATAGAGAAAGAGAGGCAGAGAGCGAGCGAGCAATCTTCCATCTGCTGGTTTACTCCCCAGATGGCTGCAACAGCTAGGCCTGAGCCAGGCTGAAACCAGAAACTGTTACCAGGTCTCTTACATGGGAGGCAGGGGCCCAAGCACTTGGGTCATCTTCTGCTGTTTTTCCCAGGCCATTAGCAGGGAGCTGGATCAAAAGTGAAGCAGCTGGGACAAGAACTGGCACCCATATAGGATGCTGGCACCGCAGGCAGAGACTTAGCCTACTATGCCATAGCACTGGCCCCTAGTTCACAGTTTTAGAGGTTCAAGGGCATGATGTGAGCATCAGCTCAGCTCTGGTGATGGCCAAGATGCCACGTGGTATCACATAGCAACAGACAGAGAGCCTGCATGTGTCTGGATTCTGTCCTTCTTATAAAGCCACTAAGATTCGATCATAAGGACTCGACCCAAATGACTTTATCTAAACCCAATCACCTTCCCAAGGTGATACTATCTTAGTCTAAATAGCATAGTCCAACTTAGTTTCCACCCTCTTCATACCATTAACATAACACTCTAGGGATTAAACTGCAGCATGGACTTGGGGGACAAACCATATTCAAAGCAGAGCACCTTCCTTATTCTGATTTCTTCCCCATGAGGCCGCTTCCTGATTCTAATGGGGCTTCCCAAATCACTTGCACACAGGGAGATCTGTTCTGATGCAAATGTTCCAGTTCCTTTTCTAACTGTAAACCGTGGTCAGCCATTCTGGTTGTGTGTTTCTGGCATTTTGAGTTTGGTTGATGTGAGCTTGCTTATAGACCAGATCCAATCTTTTTTGTTGACAAAATCAGGTGTCTGAAGCTTCAAAACAAAGAGCCAGATTTTAATTAACCCAGATAGCATAGGCCTGGTCAAGTCCCTGGCAGACAGCCAAGTGACCTCCCTGCCCTGACCCAGGGACATGGCTTCAAAATATTACTTCCTGAAGTAGAATCAGAAGGAAATCTTGCAATCCTCAATGGACCCTGGCATGGCCCAGTAAGAACAGGAGAACAAGAAGGGTTAGGAATGGAAGACCGACTGACAGACAGATGAGTTCGTTAAACGGGTAACAGGGGCTAGTGTTTAGCCTAGTGGTGACGATGCCCATATCCCACATTGGAGTGCCTGGGTTTGATCCCTGGTTCAGGCCCCTGACTCCAGCTTCCTGCTAATGCAGACCCTGGCAGCACAGATGGCTCAAGTAGTAGTATTCTGCCATCCACATGAGACTTGGATTGAGTTCCTGGCTCCCAGCTTCAGCCTGACCTAGTCCTGTCCAGGGTAGACATTTGAGGGGTGAACCAGTGGATGGGAGCTCTCTATCTGTATCTCTTTTTCTCACAAATGAGTTATTAAAATGGAGAAAGAGTTAACAGTAGGAAGATACAAGGGGTAGAAGCATCCTTGTCTGAGAAGCATTGGGAAGACAGAGTTCCATTTGGGTTATTTAATGAGACCCAGAACCGACGGAGGAAACAAAGAGTGGCATAACCAATGTTTCTAAAAAGAAAACTTTCATCTGATTTCCTCACCCCCAAAATATCTAGTCCCCAAAGCAATTCTCAAAGTAGAATTTACTAAACTCTTGCCCTGGAATCATCTGAGGATCTTGTTAAAAATGGAAATGAGTCTACAGCCATACCACCCTGAACGTACCCGGGCTTGTCTGATCTCAGAAGCTAAACACAGAAATGCCTGGGCCCCAGCACTACCCAGTTGGAATCTCTTGGATTGCAAGGTGATACCTGGCAATCCCTGCTCTTACAACAAGCTCCCAGGTGCGTTCCTGTCCTCTCCAGTTTGAGAAGCTTTCCCTAGCAGAAGGGCAATGTGAAGCAAAGGGAAAGGGAAGAGCTGCACCTGAAGTGTGCCAAGCACTGTCACTCAGACTCTCCTTCAAGAAAGGCACAGGTCCAGTTTTGCCAGCTCTGTCTGCTCTTCCGTCATCCTGACAATGGTTTGCTTTTTAAAACTCTTTTACAAGATTAGGTTGAAAAAACAGCTAGAATATCCTCTCCCCTCCACCTCTCACCAGGATTCTAGCCTCCCTTGCAGCAGTCAAGCCACCCAAACCTTCTCTGGAAGTAAAAGCCATTCCAGAACTATGATTAGTTCCAAAATCACATTGAAATGCTCTCATAAAGAGTGTCACAGAACAGGAACAGAAAGTGTTGTAAAGTTCAATGATGTTTGTGAGCTGATTACAAAAGAAAAACATTTCTTATACATATCCACATATAAAAATGAGGGAGTGAATACCATACGTATGGCTTTCAGTAAGTAAAATATGAAGAGAAGAGAAACATAATGGTAAAAATAGGCAGGAAAGATATAAAAATTCAAATTTTTTAGGGGAGGCCAGCGCCTGCAGTGCCGGCATCCCGTATGGGCACTGGTTCAAGTCCTGGCTGCTCTACTTTTAATCCAGCTCTCTGCTATGACCTGGGAAAGCAGCAGAAGATGGCCCAAGTTCCTGGGCCCCGAACCCATGTGGGAGACCCAGAAGAAGCTCCTGGCTCCTGGCTTCTGATCGGCACAGCTCCAGCTGTTGTATCCAATTGGGAGTGAACCAGTGGATGAAAGACCTCTCTCTTTCTCTCTCTCTCTCTCTTTCTCTCTGCCTCTCCTTCTCTCTCTGTGTAACTCTGACTTTCAAATAAATAAATAAATCTTTAAAAAAATATTTTAGGGTGGGCACAGTGCAGTGAGTTAAGCCACCACTTGGGACATCCACGTCCCATTTCAGAGTGCCAGTTTGGGTCCCAGCAGATGCTGGCTCAAGTGTGTGGGCCCCTGCCACCCATCTGGAAGACTCAGACCGGCCTCAGCCTGGCTTAGACCTAGCTGTTGTGGCCATTTGAGAAGTGAACCAGTGGATGAAAAGACTCTGTCTCTCCATTCTGCCTTTCAAATAAATAAATCTTTTTTAAAAAACTTAAAAGCTAACATTTTTCAAACCCTTTGGTTCAAGAGTTACTCATCAAGAAATTCATCTTTACAAAGTTCATAGACAAATGCAAAAACGTGTATATCAGTGTCATTTACCGAATGGAAAAATTAGAAACTTTCTAACATGCAACATTCGATCATATTGCATGCAGCTTCTCTCTCCTTCCAAAGGAAAACCACCCCACTCACGGTCCCCGGCTGTGGCCTTAGATTATCCCTTAGGCAAAGGATGGTCGCTGAAAGGATGGAAAACAGGGAGCTGCAAGGCTGGCCAACAACCTAGATCCAAAACGCCTGGCCCAGAGGGTCGATAATGTTTAATTAGGCCAACTAGACTTTCTCCATTTACAACTTAACAGAAAAAGTCAGCCAATTGGAGTGGATGTATGTAGTTTCCTTTAGAAATAAGTTATATATTAAAACCTCAGGCAGTAAAATGATTATTTGCAAATATGCCTCTTAAATATATATGTAACTTTTTTGAGAAAAATATTAACAGAAATATTGTTTTATTCATCAATATCTTTATAATTAACAGTTAAACCAATTCCAGTAGGTGGTCAAAATAATCTTTCAATTGACAGCTTAGGAAATAAGTGTTGATAATGAAGTCTCATATTCACAAAGTTAACTATCCTGAATTTTAAAGCTCATTAGAATTGGCCTCTGTTGGAAATGAATATTGGCTCTGTTACCAAAATGAGAGACTGGAATGCTAATGAGTGGGTTTTCTTTACACAGGTAATATAGATTTTAAAGAAACCACATGGGCTCATTAAAGGTTAATATAAATGTGAAATTACTACCCTGAAGCTCCATCAGCCATTTTGTTGATTTTTAAATAAATCAACTTGTCAAATAAAGCTCTACATAATATTTTCCTCATGGTTTTAGTCACATTCTCTTGGGTGGACAAGGGCCAGGCATTCAGTATTCAATATTTAAATATTTTATATATTTTAAAATGGATTAAATAAATATCATATTGCCATACTTTAGCAAAGTGGAGAACAACTTGCCAATAAATGTTACAAAATGATTTTGTTGTCCACAGTCATTCATGCTGAGGTAGACTCCTAAGGCCATCCATGAAAGGTACACTGCAGAGGTAAAGGTGAGCCAGAACCCTGCGTGACCTCACAGCCATGCCACACCTGCTCACGTGCTCCGCTGACACATCTAACTAAACTGGAAGGTCTCCTGGTGTCACCTCTCGGGTTGGCTTTCTGCTTCCAGAAAACAATGTCAACCATAATGTCGCTCCACTGATTGTCCAAATATCAAACTGCCAGAAATGTGCATTGCTGCTCATCAGCTGTATTGGACTTCTGCCCTTCAGGATATAAGCTCTCTGTTCTTTAATTCCTAGCAAAGCACAGCAGTGAGGAATGCTGTTCATCAAAGAGTGTGTGGAGAACTGAGGGCTACACACTTCTCCAGGCTTGTTAGGCTTTTTCCTCCTGGAATTTTTCCTTTGGCTCAAATCACACCCACCAGAAATGTCCATACTTAAAACACGGATAATTCCCTTCTTAAAGAAGGTTGTTGGCATTATGTTCTCCATCTGTGTAAGGAGTTTTTAAAAAAAGATTTATTTATTTGAAAGGCAGCGTTACAGAGAGAAAAAGAGACAGGGAGAGATATCTTCCATCTGCTGGTCCACTCCCCAAATGGCCACATGGTCAGGGCTGGGCCAGGCCAAAGTCAGGAGCCTGGAACTCCATCTGGGTCTCCCACATGGGTGGCAGGGCCCCAAGTACTTGGGCCATCTTCTGCCGCTTTCCAGGGCAATATTAACAGGGAGAGCTGGATCAGAGTTGGAGCAGCCACTACTCAAACTGGCACTGATAAGGGATGTCGGTATTGCAGGCAGTGGCTTAACCCTCTGTGCCACAATGCTAACCCCTGGAATTTTCTCAAAAAGAGCCACCAATAATTTACTGGTTGAGCATGACTCATGTCCCTTTATGAGGACC